TCGTACAGACTCGACTAAAATCCCCAACAATGATGTGCCCTGTGTGGCATTGCTACAGCTCACCAAATCGTCTGGCTATGGAATGCTAAACTGCTCGGGCTTCGGATGTGATGAACCACATTCTTCCGAAGAAGAGAGGCTGTCTTTCCACGAAGCCTGAGATGGTTCAGCCCTGATTAACTGGTTTACGAGCTGCTTTTTCAACTAAACTACTCCCACAGATAGGCGTCACTAGTCAATTGCTTGAGCTGCCGCAAGACGCGCTATTGAAAACTACAATGCCGTGCAGGTGCATCATAGACGATTCTGGTGATTGAGAGCTGTTACACACTGTTTGGTGTTCGTATTGAATACAGTACCCGCGCTCAAGCAAATTACAGGCGTCCTTCCCTTGTACAAGCAGTTTGACCCTCAAGCTCCAGATTATTCCACTTTTGCGGTTTCACAGGAGGCAATGGAGGTGCCGTGGCCTCATAGGTAGCAGTTATGACGCCTCCTCTAGTTGTCCTGTCCACCAAAACTCGAAGGCTATTTTCTGCACAAGTTCAGCTTTTGCACCACCTTTTGCGTTTTTTTTTCACTGTTCTATGGTATTAACATTGGATGACGCGAAGAAACAATTAGTAAGCCAGAGGGGGCAGGATAGTGCATTGCTGGCAGAAAACGAGCAGGTCTTGACAGTTCGTCCAGAGAGGCTGTCTGGTCATCACTTAGGGTGTTCTCCATGATTTTTTTTTCCTTTTCCTGTATTGTAAAGTCATTTAGCGACTACAAGTTTGCAATTCAACGCCACTATCCCAACGTACAAAGGAGGGGTTTGTCTTAAAACTCACCTTATGAGCAAATGTGTACTGATAACTATTCCGAATACCTCCCGATATGTCCTGGTAAACCGATGGCACTATCTGAACAGTCAATGACTAGTCTGTAAGTTTTGAACGAATTCTTATGAAGAAGCACCTTGAGGATGTACTCATGTGTTGATAGCGGCTCAGAAGACGTCATCTTCCTCTCTTTCAACGGGTTGAAACTTCCTTCAGCTTTGAGACCCTGAAAATATGAGAATTGATTTCTGCCCTCGCTATATGCGTGGCAGGCCTGTCTCTGATTGGTTACCCAGGTACGGTGACCATTCACGAACACATGGGCCATTAGTTTCTTTACTTCTCTTCGAGAAGTTTCTGTCTTACCGAAACATCATCACCAAAGCGTATCGAGTGAATAATGTGTCGCATATCAGGTTGTGTCGGTTGAGTTGCAGCGGAATGTGTTGAAATATGGAAATTTCCAGGCACCTAAAAATCAAGCAATCGATTTTTTTCCTCGAGAACAAAAACCACAGACTTCATACCTTGTTGATTTCGAACTTGCTCTTGAATCGACACCCATCACTTTCAATTGGAATTTTCTCAGTTCGATCAATAAATCCGACTTCATGGCGACCATTCTCGTCTTGTATATCTACTCCGAGGTCTGAACCGAATTTTTTGTCAAATTTTGCGTCTAGTTTTCCTTTAGATAGAAGGACCTGGGCAACGAACATTCGCATTTCATGTTTGGAAATGAAACGTCCACTTCAACATCAATTTTTCCTTCTCGACCTGGATCGTCGACGTATAATTCACTTTTCCTGGAAGCAACCTCAAGGTCAAAATGCTTCAACATTCATAATAAGGGGTATGAGAAAAAAAGGAATGTTCAGGGGCAATCATAGCCATTGTTGGAAAAAGTAATAAAGTCCAG